TGAAAATAATCCAGCCTTTAAATAGGCTTTACAAGATAATATTATCTAAAAAGATAACTAACCAATCTTATCTAATCTAATTTAAATGATAACAAGCTAAAACAAATAAATAACTTAAACTTCCTAAAATATGGAGATAATGGCTAAATAATAGGATCTAATTTCCAACACCTATGCCGCATGTGCAACTCCACTGCATGGTCACCTCCGTTGGGTAACAAGGAGTTCACAATCTTGGTGGGGATGGCTAACCTTCTGCGGACATCAGTGGAAGTTAGTGACTTTGAGAAGAGCTTCATCACTATGGAGAAAACAGAGGAGCTTTCTGGTATTGGAATTGGAATTTGATAGCATGGAAAGCTTTGAATGGGCATGTACTATACGAACGAATTGAAGAAAAATTGGATCTCTTAGCAATTATTGCTAAATGTCATTAATATATGAAAATAAAAATATTAAAAGGGATTAGTATTTATCTATTTTACATTTTAAAAGTTATGAAAAAAATTATTTTTTTATATTAACTTTCTAATATTTAGAAGTTACATTGAACTTTAATTAATTCTGAGTCGAGTTGCTCGAATTTTATAAATGTAAAAAACTCTCTCGTCACCTATTTTTCTATTGACAAAAGACTTTATTTAAAAAATCTAATCTTCTCACTAACAGAATGGTCCAGATTTTCTTTCTTTTTCCTATTTAATTGTCAATCATTTGATTATGCCTACGCTTCCTTTGTTATTGGATTGGCATTGGAGTTATTGACTTTGGATTTTGTGGAATTTCAACTCGGATTCTGATGATTCACATTGCTTTCTTAGTTGAAATCCCGAAGACTATAGTCAAAAGAATGTTCTGGAGTTTCAATTGAACTATTTTTGTTCAGTTTTTCAAAAATAAATTGAATCTGACGTTGATCACCAGGCTTCTGCTTGTTTAGTTGGTGATAGCGCTGCGTACCAGAGGGCTTCTCTGTTTGGAGATTATGTGGTGATAGTGGCGTGAGTAGCTGATCGAATTTGCCAGCAGGTTTGATTTTTTTTTTAGTTGATAATTCTTAATTCTTTGATATTCACTTTTTGCTTTGTTTCATGTTTTGTAGAGCTTATAGAACTGCCATTTGCAAATCTAAGCAAGGGGACTTCAAGGATACTTATCTTGATGATTTACTTGCACTTGTTTTAAGAGTGTCCGGGTGGGTTTGTCCTGGGTTCGTGACAAACCCAACTCGTGCCTGGGTTCATCTTGAGTTCACGAAGAACCCAGCATGCGCTTGGGTTCATTTTGGGTTTGTTGGGTTCTTCGCAAACCCAGCAAAGGTTTAAAAAAAGGCCAAAGCCCCTATTTGCACCCTCCATTTATTTGTTTTCCGTGGTCAACACCTTCCAGAATTTTTCCTCCCTATTCACACCCTCCACTTTTCAAAACCCGTGAAAAACCCAATATTTTAACGGGCCGTCACGGTTCCGTTAATAACCGTTAAAAATTGTAATACGTGGCATTAAACAGTAACATAATCCAA